TCGGAATTTGGATATGGAGGAATTTGCGATTGTCTGTTTGAAATCAAAATACATTCGCTTCGTAAACTTTGCTTTGGAAAAATGGCGGTTGAGATGCGCTTAGTGATATGATACAAGCTGCTGCTTAAACGTGACGCTTTTTCTACAGCATGGTTTTGAACGTAAAGATTCGGCTGATGCAGATCCAGTGTCTGATAATGATTCGACAGCAGTCGAACGAAAATCCGAGGCAGCTGAAAATCACTAAGTCTGTTGTTTTTGGCAGCCCGGGGATGAGTTACATACAACCGCACTGCCCTGGAGTATTTAGGGATTAATCCAGAGAAGACCGTACGAGCATTTTTATGCCTCTTTTGCATCTATGCAGTGCAGAAAACACTTGTTAGCGAGGGGTTGTCTGTGTGCGTGTGTGTGTATGTGTATGTATGTCTGTACGTGTGTCTGTACCGCTTTTTCATCTCAAGACCTATAAAAGCTACAGGGATGAAACTTCGGAAACAATCTGCGTGCACGTATGGGCCGTAGTCTCCAAAATGGGCGCTCTTACCCGCGTGGTGCCTACGTGCGAGCCCGCCAAAGTCTTTGACAAGGAAGCTGCTAGTTGGGAAACAGGAAAAGCTTAAAATATGAAATTTTAACGAGATGTTCCCCATCCGTGTAGGCATTAATGAGCTCAAACCCATCCCCCGGTTGTGCGTGGTTCCCACGTACGGGTCTATGAATTTTTTCGCGAGTAAGTTGCTAACTTGGGGAACAGCATGGTTAGAAAACTGGAATTTTAAGGGGATGTTCCCTGACAGTCCTGGCGGCCAGTCTTATTCGTTTGGCTAGAAGCATTTACCGGAAAAACCGATGCTGCTAGCAACATAAACCTGCTGGGAATTATGCGAAAGACGTATCTTCGTAACGACAGTCGGTGCGCTGGCCATTTATTTATTGATGCTTGTCAACATTCTAATCAACAATTCCTCTTTGCAGAAACCGCACGCCGTTGTAACAGCAGTGGCAACACAGGCACCAGAAGTTGTTGAAGAAAAGACAATAAAAACTCGTGATGAGGAGGTTATAACAATTACCAGTCAGAATACTTCATCCACAAGTGAATGCGTTCCCAGATTCAACAATTATGAAAAGGTGACGGCGTCTTTTTTTTTTAACGAAATGTTTCATTCCATTGCTATCATTTTGCATGAAGCTTATGGTGCTGTTGTTTCAGACTGGTTGCGTTAGACTCGTTGAAGACTGGTTAATGTCCTTCACAAATGTCCCCAATCCAGCGGAAAAATTTGTTTCGGTAGACTTTTTCAATCAGCATCCGTTTATGCATAATCTATTGTCTATTGTTGTTTAATCTGATTTAGATCCTTCTCGATGTTGCTGACAACTGCCGAAACACGTCTCGGCTTGGCCTAGTTGGGAGGAGAGTCCCAGCAAGTGAGGGTCGAGAGGCAGGGAAGTGGAGGCGGGAACGGGCAGAGGTGACGGACAGGTACTGCGGACTGGGAGCAAGAGCGGGGTTTATGGAGGATATCTTTGTGTTTTTTTTTATGTTCAGCCTGAAACCTAATGCTGAGGGAGCTGCCAGTCTTGAACATGGCATCTGGAAACCTACCTTGACAAAAAACCAGGTGCCACAGCTTTTGCTGCTCGAATCCGAAACAAAAAACGAGTGAATATTGCACAGTCGAGCCGAGTTTACCCGAGTTTTGGAATTGCCGTGTTGCTCGCACGAGAACACTGATGCTCTTACATACTGTGTATTATGTCATGCTAACATCTGTTTTAGGGTGCCGAGCCTGGATCATCATTGCAACATTTGTCGGTGGGAGCGAGTAATACTGGCACTGAAAGCCTCGAAAATCTATCGCAGATTACCCCGTCTGGGAGTGCAACCTTTGGTGCAGCTGCAGTCCTAAACCAGCAGGTGAACACCATACAGTTCTGAGAATTTGCGTTCAAGTAGTTTATTTTTGAATTGCGTTGATTTCCAGTTCTTTTTAGGAGTGTAAGCACTGCGGTTTACATTTCGATGATCCGACATTATGTTATCTCCATAAAGGATTGCATTCGCATTCAGATCCCTGGAAATGCAACCTTTGCGGCAAGAAATGCGAGGATAAGTTTATGTTCGCGATACATTTTATCGCTCCTCATCCGGGTTGTTAATGTTATTGCATTACTGTAAACCGTACTATGTTTCGCTGCAGTGAGATGGAAGAGGATTGTAGCTCATTTTACTCAAATGCCTTGCATTACTTAATAGCAGAAGCCCGGGTGTTTATTATATCAGCCAGTCGCGTTTACATGGCTTGGGAATCGGCTGGAGCATGCTGGTTGCCCGAGAAATCACTGCTTTTTTGTTTTTGTAGAATATTTCCCGTCGCACATAGCACGCATTTTTAGCTTTTCAAAACTCTTCTTCAAGTAAGCTTTTTTGCTTCTCCTAATGAATTAG